TATTGTTTACATACAGCTCTCTTCCTCGTCAGTGATGCTCGGCGCTCGCTGGGTGGCCGCAGGAAATCACCGGCCGGGACACAGTGATTGACAGCTAAAGCCAGCAATGGCAGCATGAGTAGGGTGCGTCCCCTACCCGGAAATACAAAATCGCATATATATACGTGATTTTGTGCAGCCCTGTAGCATTAGTTCTGCTATTGGGCGGTCAGGAAGCTGTTAAAAATATTTTAGTTATCACCATGGAACATGGAGTGTTAAGTGCAAAACTCTACAGCAGTTGATTTTTATTTTGATGAATCATAAAATCTGATTGGCTGCTACTTCAGTTTTTCTCATAATCATTGCACTGCATTGTAGGAGATGTAAGGAGTTAAAGGGATTAATAGGAGGAGAATGATAAAAGGGTATCCACTAGATTCTCTGATCACATGTTGGTAGTGCACTGTGATAGAATTTTTGGAAGAAAGTGGCTGCTGTAGTCAAAAACCGTTAATGCAGTGTTAGTCTTTATAATGAAAAGTGTTAGAGAAACCAACTGATGGGGAAAATATTACAAAAATGTCTGGAATAGTTCCCACTGTATTTATCATTAGCTGTGACGTTGTGTACCACACTGCATTTCAGTGGAGGGTGAAAAATATTTGTGTGATAAGCACACCTGTTACAGATGAGAAACCTCGTTCGTTATCACAATCTGTAGTGCTGGTAACCTTGACTTGTATCTATCCAATTCCCATCCACAGTGCTTTGAAATCATTTTCTAAAAAACTATGGGGGAATTAACAAAACTTCCTGTTCCATAATAATGGCTGAGGAAATGGTCGCAAGCGGTGAAAGACATATTTCAGGACTCTGTACCACCCACACCACTTTCTATTTCAAAGTAAAATAGAACTTGGCGCAGGGACTGCACCTGATTAACAAAGGGGAACAGTTTTTAGAATAGAAACCTGCTGCAGTTCCCCACCAGGTCAGATTTGAAATATGGGATGTGACTACACTGCACGCCGAGGCTGCAGGATTACAGTGATTGTAAAGACAGTCCTTGTTTTTTATTAGAAAAAAAAAATGTTATACTTACTGCTGCTCTGTTCAGTGGTTTTGAATAGAGCAGCCCCAATCGTTCTCTTCTTGGGTCTCCTGCTGGTGCTCCTGAATCCTTCCCTCTACCAAATGCCCCCATAGCAAGCTGCTTGCTTGCTCCTGAGCCGGCTCTGGGCTCTGTGTGTCCATAAGACACATAGAGGGCAGCTCGACCCCCGCCTCCTGCTCCCTCCTCCACTGGCTGTGACAGCAGCAAATTCAATGGCTCTTGCTGCTATGTGTCTGAGCCAATGAGGAGAGAGAGAGACAATAGAGTCTCTGCTCTCATGTATATTGCTGGATTGAGATCCAGCTCAGGTAAGTATTGGGGGGGGCACGGCGACTTGCAGAAGGTTTTTTTTTTTATCTTAACACCCTGGTCACATCTGGTGCGACTTGGCATGCAATTTGCATATCATATGCCAATTCGCACCCTATTGTCTGCAATTAGAGCGGTCAAATCGGTGCAGTTCTGACTTGGCCGGATCTGCACCGATTTCTAAAAGTACTACATGTACTACTTTTGTTGCGATTTGCATTGACATCTGTATCAGATATCTTGCATATCGCACCTGAAATCGGCATCTCACCCGACTTTGAAATCGTGCAACTTACAGTGAGGTCGCTTAATTTCAAAGTCAGGCTTGATGTGACGGGGAGCTTATGCATAAAAAAAACTTTCTGCCTTCAGAACCGCTTTAACAACCTTCCTCCCAATCTCAGGTGAACGGGAAGGTTGGCAGGGTGACGGATGCGGAGTATTCAGCTCCAGCTAAACTCTGTGCCAAGTCTGTTACAGACACAGCATGGAACACAGAGCAGATCACTCCTAATTAACAAAGGGGCTCAAAATGTTTCCATTTGCTCAGCTTAGAAGAATGGTGCAGACATAAAGCCTGCACCACTCTTTAACTCCTCCAATGTTTCACAGATTGCAAAATGAAAACAACTACTTTTACAACTTTTTTTCTTTTTTTTTTTTTTTATAGCTCACTATTGCCTGTCAACAACTTTATGTGAAGTTTTAGCACAAATGGTTTTTCATCCATTTTTTTGTGACATTTTCTCCTGCAAACTGGCGTCTGTGCACACTGTAACTGTTTTCACTACTGGTCTTTTTTAGCCGCTAGATAGCTTGCTAGAGATAACTCACCATCTTCTTGTGAGTTCTCTTTATTTAGCAAGCCAGACCCGTCCCCACAAGCTTTCTCAATGTGCCATATGTCATCCTACTCGGGAATTATTCAGAGAAACAAACTGAGGAGATGGTATGTGGTTTTACCTGACCATGGGAAGCAAAAGTAGTATTTCTGTGGGAAAATGGAGCTCTCTGAGGATCTATTGAAAAATAACATTGTTTAACCACTTTCCCTCCAGAGGATTTATCCCCCTTCCTGACCAGGCCATTTTTTGTGTTACAGTGCTGCATTACTTTAGCGGACAATTGCACGGTCATGCAACACTGCACCCAAATGTAATTTATGTCCTTTTTTCCCCCACAAATAGAGCTTTCTTTCGGTGGTATTTGATCGCTTGTGCGGTTTTTATGTTTTGCGCTATAAAAAAGTCTGACAATTTTTAGAAAGAAACAATATTTTTTACTTTTTGCTATTAAACATGTCCAGTAGAAAAAAAAAAAAAAAATCTAATTTCATCATAAATTTAGGCCAAAATGTATTCTGCTACATGTCTTTGCTAAAAAAAAAATCCCAGTACGTGTATTGGTTTACGTGAAAGTTATAGCATTTACAAATGGTGGTATAAATACTGGGCTTTTTTTTATTTTATTTTTTATTTTTTCTAGTAATGGCAGTGATCAGCGACTTAGCGGGACTGCGGCGGACATTCTGACACTGGGGGGAACTGACTTGGTACCACTGATGTTGAAAACCCTTAACCTAGGTTCCCATCACTGTGGGTTCGGGACTGTGTTTAAAATGAACACCATCTGGAACCCAAAGCAAAAAATGCGCTGCTGTTTAGCAGATGTGTGGGGGGGGTGCCATTAAGAACTAGGCCAATAAAAAAACAACAAATTAACTTGTGAGACCTCTTCCCTGTTTCTCACAGGGTTCAGCAGCCTATTACAATGATTGGACTTCTGTGCCCGCACAAATGTGGCCACAGGGAAACCACATCAGTGTGAATCTTTCCATACAAGATTCACTAAGTGTTTTAACCAGGGTTCACACATTTTTCCACTTGAATCCAATTATAAAAATGTGTGAATCTTGAGTTAGGCCCCTTTCACACGGGCGTGCCATATGTCCGTTTTTCATCTGTCCATTTATGGATGAAAAACTGACCCCCATGTATTTCTATGGACTTGTGGGTGTAAATGGATGAACATCTTTTTACATCCGTTCATGTCCGCATATGCTAACATCCGTTTTTTGAACGGAAGAAAACCCTATTTTTCTTCCACAAAAAAGACCAGAATGGACCAAAAACGGATGCCAGCGGACCAAAAGTGGATGTATATGGATGAAAAAACGGATGAAAAACGGATGTAAACTCATCCGTTTTTTTTCTTTGAAAAAACGTGAATGAACTGAAATAAAAAAACAGAAAGCCCGTGTGAAAGGACTCTAAAAGTTGCACGAATAATGTTTGAAAGCATTTTTAAATAGACCTCTTTGTGTTGAGTAAGTTTCAGAAGATGGATGATCTAACGAGACGCCCAAAACTGCAGCTGTAAAAACGCCCAGTGTGCATGAGGCCTAAATGGTAGCTTGCGTACATTTTCTCTGTGATGGGAAGTTTTTTTTTTTTTTTGTTTAAGACCATTTAGCGTAAGCTTGGTTGACTGAGGGGCACCATACTTCGCACTGCTGATAGCATTCATTCCCTGACTGATCATTACATAGATATAGTTTATTATTGGGTGTAATGGCTTCTGGAGAACATAGTAATGTCCTCCTGTATTAGGGTCTTGTCCTCAATAATACATAGATGTGGAAGCAGAGCTTATTGATGGCTCTAAAAATGTTGCCATACTTTGTACTGAAATACTACTTCCTGGCAATTCACCCTGCCGTTTTTGCTCATAGACAGTATTATTATGTTTGTTTTGTTTTTGTTTTTTTGTTTTTTACATAACATAATGTGAAAAAGTTGTCAGATGTCTTATCTCCCTTTTGTGGTTTATCTTGTGTCTGGTTTGTACCAAGTGACAAACTTCCTACTGATGAAATGCTGCTTCCTGGCAATTCATCCTTTGAGTTTTTTTTGCATGTAAAGCTGTTTTTGTTTGGTCTTATCTAAAATTCACATGCACAAACAATGCACAGCAATTTTATGAAACCTGTAAAAAATGGAATCTTGTGCAGATATATTGTCTTGCATAACACACATGTTTTAGTAAACTTAAAGGAACTGTGTCTTGCGCCATGGAAGTTACCTTTAAATTAGTGCTGGACACATTCCAGGAGCCCAGTAGCTGATGCACTATAAAAATTACAGCTGGCGTCCAACTTTTAAAGTTTTTATATAGTTGGCAATAGAGATGGTCCCTAAAAAAACAAGTTGCTGTCTCCTGAATTCTATATTAATGTGTCCACTCCTGCTTTAAATAAATGCAAGTTGTTTTTAAACATTCTTAGAACTTACAGTGAAAGTATTTTATCCCTTATGCCCTCTGAGTTTTGCACCAGTGAAATGGGTTAATCGTACTGGCCATAGGCCACGTTCTGACCAAATTAACCATGGAAACAAATCCATACAGATCCAGTCAAGCAGCAGCAACGATCCTTCTAAGCTGACTGATCTGGAATTTGTGGTGCAAAAAAAATATTCATGTTCAGAAATATCAGTTGTGCAATGTTCATGTTAAAGCAAAACTCTAAAACAAATTACCGGTAATTGTGTTATGAGTCACATACCTTATTTTTCGCTCCATAAGGCGCACCTAGGTTTTAGAGGTGGAAAACAAGAAAAAAAAATATTCTGAACCAATGGACTGCAGACATAGTACAGGAGATGACCAGAGACTGCAGCTGTAGTACAGGAGATGACCAGAGACTGCAGCTGTAGTACAGGAGATGACCAGAGACTGTGGACACAGTACAGGAGATGACCAGAGACTGCAACTGTAGTACAGGAGATGACCAGAGACTGCAGCTGTAGTACAGGAGATGACCAGAGACTGTGGACACAGTACAGGAGATGGCAAGAGACTGCAGACATAGTACAGGAGATGACCAGAGACTGCGGACACATTACAGGAGATGACCAGAGACTGCAGACACAGTACAGGAGATGACCAGAGACAGCGGACATTGTACAGGAGATGACAAGAGACTGCAGACATAGTACAGGAGATGACCAGAGACTGCAGACACATTACAGGAGATGACCAGAGACTGTGGACACAGCACGGGAGATGACCAGAGACCGCGGACACATTACAGGAGATGATGACCAGAGACTGCGGAGCTTTGGGGAGTGGAGGGGGATGGGGAGCAGGTATCCGAATTTGACAAGTACCTGTTCCCACTTCCGCAGAGTTGTCCTCCCCCCCCCCCCCCCCTCAATCCTCGTAGTCTTCTGGGACATGTGGCAGGTCCCAGAAGACTACAGGGCCATTCACAAAGTGCAGCGCTTTTCGCGTATGCGCAGTGGGCACCCGGCCGTGAAGCCGCAAGCTGTCACAGCTGTGTGCCCACACTAAAGATGCCGAGAGAAGATGGTGAGGACACTGCTGGACCGAGGAACAGGTAGGACTGCTGGAGGTCTGCAGGTTCTGCTGCACAGAATAGTCGAGCGGCCGGCCCGGTAATCTAACACAGCGACGGAGGGAATACTGGGCCGCTCCATATGCGCTCCATAAGACATTTTCCCCCATTTTTTGGGGGGGAAAAAAGTGCGTCTTAGGAGCAAAAAATACGGTAAATATGTTTAAAAAAAAGGCAATTCACCATTGAGTTTCTTGAGTCCTTCGTATTAAGTATATGTAAACCCTGACCTTGTAAAACAACCCATGCAGTTTAAAATAGAAATGAAAGGCAAAAATGTGTGTATAGATATAAAAAAAAAAACATTAAAAATCCCTTTTTTCCCTGTGTACCCTTTCTTTTTTTATAAGTGATCACATAACCTCTATTCTCAGCTACATAAGGAGCTCCGTGCAGAGAAACATCAGCACGGTGGTCTTCCCAATGAATGGTTGTGAGGCTGCTGGGGGCGGGTGGTGTCAACACAAATCTGATCGTTGGAGGAAGGCGGGCTGAGTTCCCAGCACAGTTAGAGATCTGGCCATGCTGTGCTCTCATGCCTAGTGTGGTCAGTTTTTTGAAAGAAGGACTGGCAGGAACACCAGTGATTTCACACAAAGGAAGCAATACAAAGAGAACAGGATACGTTTTCATTCAAATATATGGTACAGCAGGCACATATCTATTATTAATGTTAAAGAAATCAACTACATGTCCTGCCTAATGGAATACTACAGACCATACCCACTGAAATGTATCAGTATTATACTATAATTGAAAAAAAGAGCTGGAACTAATCTCCCATAAAATGTCTGTTTATTCATTTTGGTGATTGAATGATGGAGACATACAGTAGTGGGAGATTTACTAAAACTGGTGCATGCTGAATCTGGTGCAGCTTTGCATGGTATCCAATCCGATTCTAGCTTCAGCTTGTTCAGTTAAGCTTTGGCAGTAAAACCCGAAATCTGACTGGTTTCTCTGCAGAACTGCACTAAATTTTGTATTCTCCAGTTTTAGTAAATAAACCGACGGTCAGCAACCTGTAGATCGCGGCCAGGTGACCGGTAGATCGCGGTTGGGCCTTGCTGACCCGCCACACAGTGTAATGCAGAGGGGCTACTTGTAAAGTTGGAGCTGTAGTAGGGAGCAAGAGACGCCTAAACCGATGCCTCCTCTGTAGTACTGGATCCTGTCCCATGTGGAGTGATTCCAACTGCACTCCACCTCTTATCCTGGCTAGTGGTCTCCAAAGTGGTGCCAGCAGCAGGAAAGAAGAGATCTTCAGGTCAGTGTGAAGCCTTACACTGGGCATAATAGTGTAGGGCTGCTTTCACACTGATGCACTGCGGTCTACCCACTCCCCGGGTGCAGTGCAAGGTACCTGCAGCTTTCCTGCGGGTTTGTTGCATGTAGCCATAGGCTTCTATGATATACTGTGGGTTTGGTGCACATTCTGAAACCACACCTGCAGGATTTGATTGAAGTTGCAGATGCACTGGGCTGCACCCACAGTGCAGGGAAACTGCAGCACATCAGTGTTAAAGCAGCCTTCTAGGGGGCTCAGAACAGTAAGGGTTAATTTATAATTGCAGTTTGGGAGGTGATAAAATCCCTTTTTTTTTTTTTTTTTTTTTATCACCTCCACCCCAACCGCTCCTCTTTAGTTGCAGTGGCCAGAATGTACACATTGCTTTTTTACCACCTGGTTTAACCCCATGGACCCTGCAGAAGCATGCATTTGCGGGGCACTTACGGAGTGGCTTCATTTACTTGAATGGCAAGCGGTAGCACCCACCAAGAGCAACACGGGGTCTAATTCCTGCTGCAACATGTGTACTTTTTTGGCTGCTGCCTCAGCAGGTAAAGGGGGTGGGGACTGAGGGCGGTAAAACTGTGAATGAACCGTAGGGTTTTACCACCCACAACTTTGTGTGAATGAGCCCTAAGGGTGTTGCTGCCAAATGCAACTAAGGGCTCATTCACAAGTGCAGCAGGAACTGTTGCTCCTCTAAAAAAGCAATTCAAGTGTGTTTGACAGGTAGTGAGGAGACGATATGTTGCCTCCTCACCACCTGATTTAAATCCGTGATTGCCGTGCAATGCATGTGATTGCGACAGGGAAGTACGGAAATTAGAGGTTTGAATCAGGTGTGAAGAGGCAACACTGTGCCCAGTGATCTTTGACTTCTCCCATGTTGTTCAGGTAGATCTCCACCTCTTTTTAGGTTTTCTACTCCTGCCATAATATATGACATACTTACAGACAGTAAGCAAAAGAGCTTACCAAAACGTGGGTGCGTTTGAGTATATGTGGGAGCAGAGGGGGTTGTTAATCAGTTTCAGCTGCTTTGGTGTGAAGGAAATTAACAGGTACACTAGATGGGCAGCAATGAGACAACCCCCAAAACAGGAATGGTTTTACAGGTGGAGGACACTGACATTTTATATCCTAGTCATCTTTTCTGACTGTTTTTCCCTAGTTTTTCATTTGGCTAGAGTCAGTGTCAGTACTGGTAGCATGAGGTGATACCTGGACCCTACAGAGGGTGCACAGGCAGTCCAACTCCTCCAGGATGGCACATCAGTATGTGCCATTGCCAGAAGGTTTGCGGTGTCTCCCAGCACAGTCTCAAGAGCATGGAGGGGAATCCAGCAGACAGGCAGTTACTCTAGGAGAGCTGGACAGGGTCGTAAAAAAAAAGGTCCTTAACCCATCAGCAGGATCGGTATCTGCTCTTTTGTGCAAGGAGGAACAGGATGAGCAGAATGAGCACTGCCAGAGCCCTACAAAATGACCTCCAGCCGGCCACTGTTGTGAATGTCTCTGACCAAACAATTAGAAACAAACTTCATGAGGGTGGCCTTAGGGCCCGACGTCCTCTAGTGGGCCCTGTGATCTCTGCCTGGCACCATAGAGCTCGATTGGCATTTGCCATTGAACATGGGAATTGGCAGGTCCCCCTGGCGCCTGTGCTTTTCACAGATGAGAGCAGGTTCACCCTGAGCACATATGACATATGTGTGAGAAGCCCTGGAGAACGTTATGCTCCCTGTAACATCGTTCAGCATAACTGTTTTGGTGGTGGGTCAGTGATGGTCTGGGGAGGCATATCCATGCAGAGATGCACAGACCTTTACAGGGTAGACCAGGGATCTCCAAACTTTGTAAACAAAGGGCCAGTTTACTGTCCTTCAATCTTTAGGTGTGCTGGACTGTGGCCAGCGGGACTAGAAAAAGTCCTGGTGTTAGTGGCAGTAACAAATGCCCAATGAATGGTGTTAGTGGGAGGAATAGTGACCCATCATTGGTGTCAATGGGAGGAATAGTGCCCCATCATTGCTGTCAGTGGAAGGAATCGTGTCCCATCATTGGTGTCAATGGGAGGAATAGTGTCCCATCATTGGTGTCAATGGGAGGAATAGTGCCCCATCATTGCTGTCAGTGGGAGGACTAGTGCTCCATCATTGGTATCAGTGGGAGGACTAGTGCTCCATCATTGGTATCAGTGGGAGGAATAGTGCCCCATCCTTGGTGTCAGAGAGAGTAAAAGTGCCCCATTGTTGGCGTTGGCACATGCAGCCCTCGGGCCGCAGTTTGGAGATCACTGGGCTAGACAATGGCACCCTGAACTGCCAGTAAGTATCTGGATTACATCCTTGGAGCCATTGTCAGACCCTACGCTGGTGCAGTGGGTCTTGGGTTCTCCCTGGTGCATGACAATGCCCAGTCTCTTATGCAGGCAGTTCCTCAATGATAAAGGAATTGATACCATTGAATGGCCCCCATGCTCGCCTGACCTAAATCCAATAGAACACGTCTGGAATATAATGTTTTGGTCCATCAGACGCTGCCAGGTTGCACCTCAGACTGTCCAGGAGCTCAGTGATACCCTGGTCCAGATCTGGGAGGAAATACCCCAGGACACCATCCGTCGTCTCATTGGGAGCATGCATACAAGCCCGTGGGGGCCATACACAACACCATTTTGAGTTGCTGCAATGAAATTTCAGCAAAATGGATTAGCCTGCTGCATAATTTTTTCGCTTTGATTTTCAGGGTGTCTATGATTTCAGTCCTCTGTAGGTTGATGATTTTCATTTCCATCAAGCGATGGGGCATCCTTACATTCCTAACACATTACCCAGTCCATATCGGTATAGATATCCTACCTGAGTATTGTTGCTGACCATGTCCATCCCTTTATGGCAACAGTGTACCCATTTTCTGATGACTTCTTCCAGCAGGATAATGCACCATGTCACAAAGCTCAAATCATCTCATACTGGTTTCTTGAACATGACACCTTGTTGAATCTATGCCACGAAAAATTAAGGCAGTTCTGAAGGCAAAATGGGGGCCAACCCGGTACTGGTAAGATGTACCTTATAAAGTGGCCGGTGAGTGTGCATATGTGTGATATATATACATATACACATACACACACATACAAATTTTCCTTTCCACATTTTGTCTTGTTGCAACCACAAATGTAAATGGGATTTTATGTGATAGACCAAGACAAAGTGGCACACAATTGTGAAGTGGAAGGAAAATGATAAATGGTTTTCAAAACTTAAAAAAAAATGAATATCTGAAAAGTGTGGCGTGTGTTTGCATTCAGCCCCCCCTGAGTCAATACTTTGTAGAACCACCTTTCGCTGCAATTACAGCTGCA